TACTCAGTTTTTGGTGCCAAGAAAGGATCAAAAAGATACTGCGGCTAGTCCTACCTATAAAATGAGTCCATGCCCCTGTGAACAAAAATAGATGAACTCACAGACTTGCACAGGTGACTCATATTCAACAATACCCTATGAGACTGGGAGTATATAGCTCAGAGCTACAGCATTTCCCTGGCATGCACACATAGCCAAAATAAATATATACATAAATAAAATGTTTTTGTTTGTTTGTTTGTTTATTTGGTTGGTTGGTTGATTGGTTTAGTTTTTTGTTTGGTTGGTTTTGGTTTTTCAAGACAAGGTTTCTCTGGGTAGCTTTGGCTGTCCTGAAGCTTCCTCTATAGACCAGGCTGGCTTCGAACTCAGCCTCCCAAATGCTGGGATTAAAGGTGTGCACCGACACCACCTGGCCTCACATTAAAAAAAGCTTTAAAACATACATTTTAGGAAAGATGTAGCCCTTCTAACAACTAAATCCATTTCAAAAGTGTCACTAACTCTGTGAAACAATTGTTCTATGAGGAAAAGTCTCAGGGATTCCCCAGCACTTGAAGTCTAGTTACTCCTGTTTGAAGCAAAGTATAACCAGCTTTTTAGTTTGTTTTTGCAATTTACTGTGGCCCAGTGAAGGTCACTGGGAATTATCCTATCAGCCCTAATAGGAGCTAATGTTCTGTTCTCTTCTCCTACAAGGAGCTCTTGGGATCCAGTCAGCAAATCTAAAGCATCTAACCTTAGTATCTGGGGACTCAAAGGGGGCTTTTATCTTCTACCATTCATGGAAACCAGTTTGTGACCATCTTATAGAGTATGCTACATTTCTGACATGCATTTAAGCTTGTATTTAACCAGGAGGTAGATAGCAACTGTGAGGTATTTGGAGTATAAGATAAGGACACCTGTTAGTTGATCACACAATTCACAGGAAACTGAACTGGGGAGAAGGGTAGTTCCAGGAAATGAGCTTCAGGATGCATCTGCAGAGTAGAATAGTGTTGTCAGCTGCCTCTTCCTGCTCTAAGTTCTGACCTAGGAGTCCAACCGAATAACCAGGTTTCCTGGGATGTTCTTGCTGATACCTATTATCCAGTACACATCCAACTCCCCTCTCTGAAATGTCACATTTAAATTAGACTATCCCCGTAAGGGGGACTGACAAGTTTCTGGAGTTCTGGCAGCTTGCCTGCATGTTGGAATACACACCTCTACAAATCTCTCTGAGTTAATGCAAGGTGTATATTCGCTCTATGTTCCCATGTAAGCAGACTTTGGGGAAGAAGTGGAGCATCATGGTAGGGAAACAAAAGAACCAAGTGCCTCAAGCCCCACACTTAACAACAGTAAAACCTGGGACAAATTAGAACATCTCCCACTTGAAATAACCATGAGCTATGATGAATCATGAATTAGCATTTATAAAGTGCTCAGAACAGGGCGTGGTAATAGAATAAATCATCCTATGAATGTTCACTCAATAAAAATACAAATTTCTACATCCAAGCAATCTTGTATAAAAGGATACAGAGTGGAACAGGAAAGCCCTCTGCAAACTGTTAAGATTCTCTCTCTAGTCAAGGATATAAAACTCCTAAGTCTGATCTTCAACAGTATTCCTTGATAAATGGTTGCCAGAGGGCAGAAATGGGATATCCACTACCACAAAACTTCATGACAGATGTTCAAAGTCAACTATAAACAAATTTACACACTGAAACCATCTCAAGCAACACGCGCATGTGCACACACACACACACACACACACACACACACACAAAACTAAAATGTGCTGACTGTCGATCAACAGAAGCTGGAGCCATGAAAGGTCTTCCCCAACTGTTTTAATGTCCTCAGAAGAGACCCTCTGCCTCCTCATGTGTTCTGTAACTGTAACCGCACATTTTACCATGTGATATGGGCCATTAAAAGTACACAGATAACATATTTAAAGCAGAAAGTTTAAAATTAAAAGGCTCAGACTAAAATCTCACCTTAAACTTGTATATGATAAATTGTTAAGAAATCTTTTTGTTGTTGTGGTTTGAGACAGGGCTTCTCTTTATAGCCCTGGCTGTCCTGGCACTCGATAGAGCACACCTCTCTACCAAAAATCAGGCACTGAAGATAATTATCATGTATAAGTGAACTACCCAGAAAATACATGTTACCAGCATCCTGATACTGAACTTCATGAGAGCGTAAGCGCTCAGCCTTTGGGGGTTTTCAACCCTTCAGAGAAGTTTAAATTCCCTCTTAAGATAAAACATTCCAATCAGACATGGTGACCCATCCCTGTAATCACAGCATGTGGGAGACTGAGGCCTGGGCTACACAGGAAGATCCTGTCTTAACAAGCACTATAACTAAATAGAGTATTGGCCTAGCATGTGTAAGAAGCTCTAGGTTCAATCTCCCTCTGGTAGCTAAGAAAACAATAAAATTAAATTAAATTAACAACTCCAAGAATGCAGCTTACGGTAGAGTGCCTTGTTCGACTACTTTGTTCAAGGCCCCGAGGTCCATTCCTGGCACTTGAAAAAAGTTCCCATGCAAGGCAACAGCTTACAGGATAGAAGAAAACCTTCCACACTGAAAGATTAGGCTATAGACTGGCCCTCAGCAGGCAGACAGATAAGGAAAGCAGGTTCTAGGGCATTAATATTCTTTTCACTTGAACACTGGAGACAACCAACTTCCTGCTTCTTCTCTCTCACCAAGACTAGTGGGCTGTTTTTCTGCCTGAAAGTATTCAGTGGTCTTTCAAATTTCCCACAAGAAATGGGGGAGGGTCCTATAGTAGGAACCAATCAGCTTGCCTTTCTTTGTCTGGATTACCCAATCTCCTGTAGTAGCTCAAATCCACCAATTAAGAGAGAAAGGGGAAAATTCACCCCATCCCCAAACATAAAACTTTTAGCATTGCCAGACAAACTTTGATCTCCAGGTCTTCTGGGAGTCTGTCTCTTTGTGTTCTTCTCCTCTCCTCTCCTCTCCTCTCCTC